GAGAAAAACAATTCAAAACCCACGTTTGACTGCACGATCCCTCCAGAAAGATCTGGCAGACACTGGAGTTGTGGTACACTATTTCACTATAAAGAGATACTTGTACAAATATGGTCTTCATGGAAGAGTCATCAAAAGAAAACCTCTTCTACGTCCTCACCACAAAAATCATCGTTTGAACTTTGCAAATGAACATATAGACAAGCCTGATGCATTTTGGAAACAAGTTCTGTGGACCGATGAGGTTAAAATTGAACTTTTTGGCAGAATGAGCAAAGGTACGTTTGGAGAAGAAGGGGCACAGAATTTAATGAAAAGAACCTCTGTCCAACTGTTAAGCATGGGGTTGGATCAATCATGCTTTGGGGTTGTGTTGCAGCCAGTGGCACAGGGAACATCTCACGAGTAGAAGGAAAAATGGATTCAATAAAATTTCAGCAAATTTTGGATGGTAACTTGATGCCATCTGTGAAAAAGCTGAAGTTAAAGAGAGGATGGCTTCTACAAATGGATAATGATCCTAAACACATCTCGAAATCCATGGGAGATTACATCAAGAGGCGTAAACTGAAGGTTTTGCCATGGCCTTCACAATCTCCTGACCTCAACATAATTGAAAATCTATGGATAGACCTTAAAAGAGCAGTGCATGACAGACAGCCCAGAAATCTCAAAGAACTGGAAGACTTTTGTAAGGAATAATGGGCAAAGATACCTCAAACAAGAATTGAAAGACTCTTGGCTGGCTACAAAAAGCGTTTACAAGCTATGATACTTGCCAAAGGGGGCAGTACAAGATATTAACTCTGCAGGGTGCCCAAACTTTTGCAGACGCCATTTCTTTGTTTTCTGTTATTTTGAAAGTGTAAATGATGGAAATAAAATCTAACTTTTGTTGACATATTATAAGAATGTCTAATCTGTAATTTGATGCCTTTTGGAGATTTTTCCATCTTTCCTTGGCTTCTTTATGCACATTAATACAAATTTTTAGCTGGGGTGCCCAAACTTTCGATCCCCACTGTACATGCCTGGTAAAAGTCAAAATATAAAAATTATATGTTCACATGGAATTTCTTTTTAAATTTAGGCTCCAAAAGTCCATGTAATGAAGTTTATTACACCAGCAGCTCCTGTTCCTAGCTGTTGTTACATTTTGGTGAGACTACTTTTTACTAAGATCAAAAAGTCTGTTTATATCCAGGACTGTAGTAATGAACATCTGCATTGCGAGGCTTTGAAGCTACAGCAGCCTGTAATCTCCTTTAAATAAGCTAGTATATTCACTTCTATACAGAATGTTTGACTTACAGCTTTTATGAGTCTGCTAAATCATCTGCTTGTCTCAGCTGATGAGAGCTCAATTCATCCTCATCATTATTTATAGTCTAACTTCAAGTGAGCCAATACCATAATGCAGTAGGTTCTAGGTGAACAGACTATCTTCACACTGGTCAGAGGTGTTTTCCTTACCAACTGCTGTTAAGAAAAGCAATTCCTAGCCTGTGGTTATGGAGAAAGCAGAAAATATCGGAACCCTGGGCTTTGGTGATGTCAAAGATAGGGCTCGATCACTTCTTACTTTTTACAGTCAATACTGAACCAATATTTACTCTAGAGGTTAAGACTTGGAATAAAGGAAATGACAGGCATTTCTAAGAGTGAATTAACAAATGGTTCTTCTGATATTGATACCAGGAAAAGTCTTGCTAACCCACCCTAAGCACTGAGATATGAAACTTTTCCTGGCACGCCATTTAGATTCAGATATCACACAGAATACCTATAAATAAAGAAGAAGGCTGAGTATTGTAGTATTTGCTGGTATAAGCACTTCTTACTTAGGTCTTTAAGACATCTGACTTCATGATGTGTGAGCCAGAGATGGTAAGGGGCAAGAAAACCCCCATGGGCCATTCTAGTAAAAGCCAAAGAGAGCCAGTGTGGATAGTTCGGCAACACGTCACATAAAAATGACACGGGGGGATAATTCTGCTAAACTATCGGACTACCTATATCAGTATTTTTGTCATATCTCTATAAATCATTATGTACATAATACACAGTTCCATGATCTACACGACATGATTGCCCTCTTCTAGCCAAACTTGGCCAATATGCCACCAATGTGGGCACTGAGTTAGAAACCCAAACATGAATCCAACGGTGTCAGTATGAGCATATTACAACATATCTATAGCTGCTGAAGCAGCAGCAAAGCTCTACTTGCCAAATATTAATAGATATATCTATACTATGGGGTTGATTTGCTAAACTGCAGAGTGCAAAATCTGGTACAGCTGTTCATGGTAGCCAATCAGCTTCTAAATTCAGCTTGTTCAAATAAGCTTTGACAAAGAAGCCTAACCCCTGGTTCACATATCCGCGTTCCCGAGGGTCGTGTTTTGCGCGGGCATGATAGCCCATTCATTTGAATGGCCTCCCGTGCCCCGGGACACGCAGGGAAGAAGTCCCTGCACTTCTTCTGAAAAAGCATCCCGCACGGGAACCTCTCAGTACGGTTGCGATTTCCAGTGCGGGTGACTAGACATTAGAGTTAATGGCACCTGCCCGCGGGTCTGCATTCTTCTGTATGGGTGGTGCAGCTGCACGGATTTTTGTGTGGATCTGCAGCGGCACCACCCACACATACATGAACCTAGCCTAAAAGCTGATCAGTTTCTTTACACAGCAGCACCAGAGTTTGCACTCTCCAATTTTAGTAAATCAACCACTATGTTTCAGCTAAAGATTACTGAATTGACAATGAAAGTTTTGTTACCTGCACTCAATAAACCATTGGCGGATCTGGTCCTGAAGTGTTTCCTTCATATCCAATCCTTCTGTTTCTCTTATAGTGTCCTTCATCTGCACCAGGGCATGTTGGTAGTCGGCTTCATGGTGCTCCTGCAGTTCAAAGCGAAGGGTTTCTGTCTTACTGGCAAACATCTGCACCGTACTCACAGTGTTCAAATGTGCAGATGGCTCCTATAATACAAAAAGAGTAGAAGGTTGAAATTGGCAGTGGACTTCTAGGTCTTAAAGTATATTTCTACTTTTGCAGTCAAATTTGGTTTGTGATGTGTTCCCATCTACACAACATACCTAAAAACTATTTTGAAAAAATATTTAATACCTTTCTAGTTTATTCTTGTTTAACAGGCCTTTGGGCAGACGGCAAGCTACTATGAACAATTTGAAAGTGAAAGCAGAGGAACAAAGTGGGGAACTAAAGCCTAACCAGTTGTTAGAACAGACAGTGTTTAAATTTAGTTTACAATTGATAATGAGATCTGCCAGTACAGTACAGACAAGGTTAATTATGGTAAAACATTATTCCCAAGCCTCCTCCTTCACACCTATGTGTGTTGCAATCTGGTGCGAAAAAAAAAAGTCCAACCCTTTCTGAAAATGTAGCGACTGAAAATACATAGATGTGAACATGTCCCATAGGAAACCATGTTGAATGGACTGTAGTCCATTTCTGCAAAATTCAAAAACCACTAACAAATCTATAGGTGCCAGGCCTAACGTTGTGTAGCAAGGGAAAATTTCAGTTTTTGAGTTTTCAGAAAAAAGCAAGAAAAAACAGTGAGCAGCAATCTTTAAATATGTTTATTCTAGGTGAATGGGAACTTAACAAATATAAAGTACCATAGGTATTCTCCAAACCTAGCAAAAGTAGAAATGCATCCTTTCCTCATTATATATTTACTGTAATGCTAGGTTCACATCTATGTATGTGTGATTGATGCATTTTTGCAGCCTGTTTTTACTACAGGTTCTTATATACAGTAGAGCCATCAATTTGCGCAGTGCTTTACATATATATATTGTACATTCACATCAATCCCTAACCCTCAAGGGGCATACAATCTAAAGTCCCTAACTTACATTCATACATACACATACTAGGGCCAATTTAGACAGGATCCAATTAACCTACCAGCATGTCTTTGGAGTGTGGGAGGAAACCAGAGTACCCGGAGGAAACCCACACAGGCACAGGGAGAACATGCAAACTCCAGGCAGGTGGTGCCATGGTTGGGATTCGAACCAATGACCCCAAGTACTGCCATGCGGAAGTGCTAACCATTTAGCCACTGTACTGCCCAGTTATGTATTTTTTCATGCATGATTTTGATGTGGTTTGTGATTTTTGGAAAGTGTTGATGTTGCTAGGAGGAGGTGACTATTGTCATGCAGGTTATGCACATACATACATTTTCCATGAATTTGTGACACAATTCCATTGAAGTCTATGGAGACAAAAATACATTGTGTTGCGTTTAAAAAAAGTTACTGCACCTTTCCAAAAAACGCTTTGCACAAAACTGCACCGATATGAATGGAACCCATAGGAAATAAAGTTATATAAACTGTAGTGCATTTCTGTAGATATGCAAACACACTAATAACACATAGATGTGAACCTAGCCTTAGTCTCTACAATTTTATATGTGCTCTATTATGAAAGTGTAACGCTGCAGCGCACCGGTGTCAACTAGCCACATGAATGGGGAGAATCTCATCCCCCACCACCTTCTTGTTTCTATGCAGTGTACAGACTTTCAGTTAGAGCAAGGCAACCTGAATGCAAATAAGTTCTGCTGTTTTCTCTTAGAAAACCCAAAGTGATTTGTGACAGTGGTGTTATGGGCGATTTCATATACTGTATTTTTCGCTCCATAAGACGCACCCCCCCAAAAAATGGGGGAAAATGTATGTGCGTCTTATGGAGCGAAAATGAAGGCTTCTTTCTGCAACAGAACTTTACCTGTTCCTCGGTCCAGCGGTGTCCTCACGGTCTTCTCTCCCGGCATGGGCATCTTTAGTGTTGGAACCCGGCTGTGACAGCTTGCGGCTCTATAGCTGGGTGCCCACTGCGCATGCGCGAGAAGCGCTGCGTTTTGTGAATGGTCCGGTAGTCTTCTGGGACCTGTCACGTGTCCCAGAAGATGGGGAGGGAGGAAGTGGGAGCGGGTACCTGTCAAATTTGGGTACCCACTCCCCCTCCCCAAAGGTCCGCAGTCTCTGGTCATCCCCTGTACGGTGGGCTTCAGTCTCTGGTCATCTGTAGTATGTCTGTGAGATGGGGAAACAGCTCTCATTGTTTGAACACTGTTTGTGTGGAAGTAAATTAATGTTTTGACGCACATTCTGCGGTTTAGCCACAAGATGTCACTGTTTTTCTAACACAGGCTCAGACTGCATAGATATTTGTATATTCATGAAGAGGTGGGGTTTTGCACTCAGAGTTGGAGTTTAGTGAACAGGAAGAGGAGACTGCAGCCATGTTTTGGACGATGCTGAATGAAGGGGCCGTGTGAGCTGATGAGATTGCTGCCAGGAAGCTGATGAGATTGCTGCCAGGAATGCTGATGAGAGCAGAAGAACTAAGCAACATATCCGGCAAGACCACATGCTTGTTGGAGAGACATTTGTTCTGTTCAGAGCAGGGGCGGACTGACAACTCATGGGGCCCCTGGGCAATAGGGAATCATGGGGCCCCTGTGTCCTTACCCAAACTCAAAAAAGCCTGTGAAAAATGTGCAAGGGGCATCTCATGGGGCCCCCTACTGACCCCGGGCCCTTGGGCAGTGCCCGAGTTTCCAAATGGTCAGTCCGCGCCTGGTTCAGAGTCACCAGCGGATGCAAAGCAGACCCGGATCGGTAAGATCGTGCACGCACCTCATTTCAGTGTTGGCGCCTTGAGACTGAGTCCAGGCCTATAGTTAGTTAGTTAGGGTCTCTGTGCCAGGCCACAAGTGTTGTTACTGATTATTGGAAGGACTCCACAACTTAAAGTGACATTTCACATTGGAGAGCTGATAAAATCCTACAAACTCAAGCCAGACTGGCGTCTTGCTCAGAAGGAATGCTCAGGCACGTGCTACAGGACCAGTTATGGGAGAGGGAATACTGTAGATTTGTGTAAGATTGTAAGCTGTTGTGCTGCACCGCAGGCTAGCCCATAACATACACCCATACACTGATTCCTGCTCTTTTAGGGTAATAACAGGTAAGGTGTGGCAGCTTATTTGTGCCTGCCAGTAGGTAAATTACTTCACTTTCTACCTTCATCCATCAGAAGGCGCAGTGCTGTGCAGCACAAGGGTCTCAGCCTTTGGGCTGGGTGTATGTAAATTTATTGTATGTTTCCAGCATTTGTGGTTGTGTTTATTTGCCACATCTAAGTAAAATTCTGTTGTGGCAAAAGCTGGTGTTGGGGTTGCTTTCCTCGTTCGTGACTTCACTGTATCCTGGGGAGCCCACCCCGGTACACGGCTTACATGTCCGCAGTCTCTGGTCATCTGTACTATGTTCGCAGTCTCTGGTCATCTCCTGTACTGTGTCCGCAGTCTCTGGTCATCTCCTGTACTGTGTCCGCAGTCTCTGGTCATCTCCTGTACTGTGTCCGCAGTCTCTGATCATCTCCTGTACTGTGTCCGCAGTCTCTGGTCATCTCCTGTACTGTGTCCGCAGTCTCTGGTCATCTCCTGTACTGTGTCCGCAGTCTCTGATCATCTCCTGTACTGTGTCCGCAGTCTCTGGTCATCTCTCCTGTACTGTGTACGCAGTCTCTGGTCATCTCCTGTACTGTGTCCGCAGTCTCTGGTCATCCCCTGTACTGTGTCCGCAGTCTCTGGTCATCCCCTGTACTGTGTCCGCAGTCTCTGGTCATCCCTGTACTGTGTGTCCGCAGTCTCTGGTCATCTCCTGTACTGTGTGTGCAGTCATTGGTCAGAATCCTTACTATGTCTGCAGTCTAAAGTCCTCATCTAAAACCTAGGTGCATCTTATGGAGCGAAAAATATGGTAAATAGTAAGAAATACTGTATGTAAAGCATCAGTCTGAAAACATATACAATTAAAAACTATTATAGTTTCCCTCTAAAGCAGCAGCGTAGAAACAGACAACATGCTGAGTTACGTGTCAAGGAACTTAACAACAGCCTGATGTAGGGGAAATATAGACTTCCTGATAAAGAGTTGGGGCAAGTTCAATAGCCAGGAAGTTCTGATATTAGGGACAATAGATCATTTAGAACAGGGAAGTTTCAGAGACAGCTACACAGAGCTCTGTATTGTGCGAATCTCAGAATTCCTGGCAAGAGGCTGAAACTGTGATCTTCAGTAACAAATCAGCAGAATACAATATTTAAAGAAATGGCTTCAAGGGTAGAAGGATTCTGTCATTCTAAGGTCACAGTTAACAGCATGTATTGAAAGAGGCGTCACAGAGGTTTCTTTTCTCCATAAAACTGCCCCATCTTTTACAAGGTATTTCTAAAAATGTAGCTAGGCCTGGACTTGAAATTTGGAGAATATGTAGACAGATGTGAGATCTTTGGGCTGCTCAGATTTAATCAGATCTGTGTCAGGAAAAAGAAAAGAGGGAAATTTGGCACATGGTGCCAACGGGGTGTCCGTATTGTCTGTACATGAATATAATGGTTCTTTTCATGTTATATACATCTGAGCTTGTATGTTTATATGCTAAGGTTTGTTTTCAGCCTAGGGATGTTGACACATAAGTGTACTCTTAACCACTTACCCTACTGAGCATTTACCCCCCTTCCTGACCAGGCCATTTTTTGCATTACGGCGCTGCCTTACTGTAACTGACAATTGCGCGTTCAAGCAAAGCTGCACTCAGATGAAATTTACATATACTTTTTTTCCCCACAAATAGAGCTTTCTTTTAGTGGTATATGATCGCCTGTGCGGTTTTTATTTTTTGTGCTATAAAAAAAAAAAAAGACTGACAATTTTGAGAACAAAAAATATTTTGGACTTTTTGCTATTAAACATGTCCAGTAAAAAAATTTAAAAAATCAAATTTCTTCATAAATTTACACCAAAATGTATTCTGCGACATGTCTTTGCTAAAATAAATTCCCAATACATGTAAATTTATTGGTTTAGGTGAAAGTTATAGCAGTTACAAATGGCGGGATACTGGGATTTTTTTTTCTACTAGTAATGGTGGCGATCAGCGACTTATAGCGGGACTGCGGTGGACATTCTGACACTGGGGGGAACTGACTTGGTGTCACTGACATCCCCAGTGACACCAATACAGTGATCAGTGCTAAAAAAAAGCACTGACACTGTACTAATGGCACTGGGCAGGAAGGGGTTAATATGAGGGGCAATCAAAGGGTTAACTATGTGTAGGGAGTGTTTTACTAGGGGGCGGGGTGTGTGCTTCACTGTAAGCACACTGCTCTGGATGGCTGTGCTGTGCACAGCCATCCAGAACAGTGTGCCCAAGCCAACAGGAAGGAAGACTGTTAGTAAATAAAACAGTCTTCCTCCCAGTCGGAGATGCTCAGTAATTAGCGGGCGCTGCTGGGTAATTACCGCCCGAATGGCGGCGCGTGTGCTCCCTACGCAGAAATGCAAGATCACGTATATATATGTGATTTAGTGCAACCCTGCTGCCCTGTATATCTGCTATAGGGCGGCGGGGAAGCAGTTAAACTGTTACTAAACCCAGGACCCTGCATTCACTATATCTGGTCTCCCACAGTACACACAACATGGAAATTCAATTATTTTAGCAAATATAAACTGCTAAATACCTTTTCTCATCAGCAGTATATAGCCCTCCTATGACTTTTATCAGTGTCTAGATGAGTACTGCTGAATCTTGTAGGAGGAGTATTCGTTCTCCTCTGACTGTCCATTGAGGCTGCAAAACCCCTGACCCTCTGTCCGGACAGCGCTGATTGACCCTGTGCTGATCACATGCACACCAAACAGAGCATGTGCAAACTTGCCACTGCTGCTCTGTACTATGGCAGGATTGAGGACAGTAAAATAAAAGGGCAGGATCAAACAGCCTTTTTACACAATGTGGAGAATTAACCTCTGAGGCTCCACAGTGAATATCTCTAACATGCTTTACTGCATATACAGACTGATTTTACTGTTGCTGGTTCAGTAGCACTTTAAGCTAGTTATAAGCTGTTTGAATTTTGACTAGTTCCTGCTTGAGGTGATAGCAGCTGTATAAGTGCACTTGCAATAAAAACAATTAAGTGTTGTTCGTGATCCTTTTTTTTTTAATTTGCACCAACATCTAAATTGTTAAGCTTTTGGGGTGCTCGCCCATTGTACTGCTTGGACCTTGAAGAAGAGGGTACACCCCGAAAGCTTGTCCTAAAAATTTGGAAGTTGGTGCAAATTAAAAAAAGGATCACGAACAGTACTCAATTGTTTTGTGGCCAGTTCCTGATGAAACTGTATCCTCTATTATTACAAGCAGTCCTTTATCTCCAGTCTAGTGACTTTGCCTTGGCTAAAGCCGGCCTTAGACGGTTCAAACAATGTATGGGCAGGTTGAATGTACCCAAGTTGATCAATCAATTGATCAACTTGGGTACAACCAGCCTGTCCAATTTTAGATGTGATTATTACTAGGGGCTATTATAGCAGCTAGAAGTAATAACTATGTTTTCCCGGGGGGGGGGGGGGCTCCCAGTGTTGATGGGGGACTGCAGCGATTTTCTTTCCTGTGACCTGTGGTTGCAGGAAAAAAAGTAGCTCTGTCTATGGCTAGGTTTAGATGTCGAAAGTTTACTGCAGGCGGGTGGAAGCATTACATCCGTCTCATCGTTCCCAGTAATCAGACTGTGACATCTGAATTTTGTAGTCACAAGGTGAGAGTCTGCACTAGCAGGATGGTGTGTGTTAGACATGTGTGAACACAACCATGAACTTCACATGACTGTGTCATCTCTGACCTGGCATGTTTGTTCACGGCAGTCCATGCTGACCCTGTCAATGAAAAAAGATGACTCCAACCTTGAAGCGACTCAATCATGAGCATACCATTTTTTAAAAATGTGCTTCCTGCACAGAAGACGGTTAACGGTCACCTTTTCTGTCACTTCCAGTATATATTTCCAAAGCTAATTTTTTTGTACAGGAGGCAACAGAGGAAGGTATTAATCGTCTTCTTTGCAGGAGGCTTCTTTAATTCTAGAGACAGAGAGAGGAAAAGAAAGTTATTCTCCAAACACAGAAAGGTTTCTTCACAGTGAGAGCTGTGAAAATGTGGAATAGACTCCATCAAGTGTTGGCTCTGGCCAGCTCAGTGGATTGCTTTAAAAGAGGCCTGGATTCTTTCTTAGATACACAGAATATAACTGGATACTAACATTTATAGGTAAAGTTGATCCAAGGAATATCCGATTGCCTCAGGAAGGAATTTTTTCCCTGCAGGAGCAAATTGGATCATGCTTTGCTGGGTTTTTTTGCCTTACTCTGGATCAACTGTGGGTATAGGACTTTTTATTTTTTTTTTAATGGTTGAACTGGATGGACTTTTGTCTTTTTTCAACCAGACTATCTATGTAACTATGCTTTAAGGAAAGCTGGTATCACTGCCCAGACCAGTCCATGCTGACGATGGCTCCAACCTTTAAGCGACTTGTTTGTAAGAATAGCTTTTCTTAATAAAATGTCTCCTGTACAGCGGACAGTTAATGCTCACCTCTCCCATCACTGCTAGTATATCTTTCAAACACAGCAACGCTTTATGGTGCAAGAGTCAGCAGAGGTAGGTTTTAATGATCTTTTTTTTGGAGAAGGCACTTTTTAATTTTAGTGACAGATTCACTTTAAGGAAAAACAAGCAGATGAAGGACTTGTCGGGGGGAGTCTTGTGATCACTGTGACTTCACATAAAAAATATACCTCATGCTAGGTCCTCTTTAATTAGCAGTCTATACAATAATGTATGTAAAGAACCATTTGGGTTCTGGAAACATAATATAGGAAGGATATTAATCCCAATTGGTTCTTTTCAATTCAGTAGTCTGAAAAACCTTTAATAAATTAGGTCCTAAAGATGATTTATGAGCCATAATAAAAGGTATTTGTGGACCTTGCTAAATGTCTACAATAGTATAAACATCTCTAAAGCTGGCCATACACTAGTAGAATTTCCTTAGAAGTTTTTTTTATGTTTTAAGAACATGTGTTTGATTTTCTAATCATTAGTGGGGTCAAAGGGATGTTCATTAGAACCACAGTGACAAGAAAACTTGAAGGAACAGGGATAGAAAATAACATTTTGGAGTTTTTTTACCAGTAGAAAAAACCCCGCTAAACGCTACCAAATGGTACTAAATGCTACTAAAACGCTCCCAACAGCTTTTATCTAGGCTTTTAATTTTTTTTAACGCTCCTAAACACTACTAAAATGCTAATAAAACACTACTAAAGCACGTTATTACTAGCATTTTTTTTTATCCAGCATTTTCTACAGTATTTTTTTAACTTAAAATGCTAGTGTGCATGGAGCCCAACAGTGCATGTGGTGCTCATATGGGACAGTTCATTCATTTCAAAATTGAATGTTAAAAGCCAATTACATTTTGAAGCACTTTTCCTCAAGTTGTCAAATGTACTGAGAAAGTTAACCCCTTCAGCGTGGGTGTTGCCCCACTGCAAGGGGGGATTTTTATAGCTTCCCATAGTAGAGCTTTAAAGAGGAGTTCCAGTTGAATAAAAAATAAAAATAAAAGTCAGCAGCTACAAAAACTGTAGCTGCTGACTTTTAAAATACAGAGACTTACCTGTCCCTCGGTCCAGCGGTGTTCTCACTACGGCTGGTTTCAAAGTTTCTCCCTGGCGCCGGCATCTTAAGTGTGGGCAAGTGGCTGGGACAGCTTGTGGCTTCACAGCCGGGTGCCCTCTGCGCATGCGTGAGAAGTGCTGTGCTTTGTGAATGGTCCCATAGTCTTCTGAGACCTGTCAAGTGTCCCAGAAGACTACAGGGAGGGAGGGGGGGACAACTTCTGCTTCCAATTGCCCTAGGTCAGTGGTCGGCAAGCCGCGGCTCGCGAGCCACATGCGGCTCTTTACACACTTCAATGCGGCTCTTCTGTGTGCCGGGTGCCCGCTCCCCTCCCTCCTCTCGGGCGGCCGCCCCAAAAGTCAGGACTCTTCAGCTAGCCCAGCAATGGGCAAACTACGGCCCGGCGGACCTTTTAATCCGGCCCGCGGAGCGTGGCAAACATTGGCTGTCAGGATGTAGGCGGGGCAGTGTGACGAACTCCTCTCCTCTCACAGTCCGCCCTGAAGACCGGAACGGCGTGGGAACACGGCGAGAGGAACGCGCGGAGCAAAGGTAAGTGAATTGACACAATATGGGGAATGAATTACTATAGGGGGGATGAATTACTATAGGGGGGATGAATTACTATATGGGGGATGAATTACTATATGGGGGATGAATTACTATGGGGGATGAATTACTATGGGGGGATGAATTACTATATGGGGGATGAATTACTATAGGGGGGATGAATTACTATAGGGGGGATGAATTACTATATGGGGAATGAATTACTATGGGGGATGAATTACTATAGGGGGGATGAATTACTATATGGGGGATGAATTACTATGGGGGATGAATTACTATATGGGGGATGAATTACTATAGGGGGGATGAATTACTATAGGGGGGATGAATTACTATAGGGGGGATGAATTACTATGGGGGATGAATTACTATGGGGGATGAATTACTATATGGGGGATGAATTACTATATGGGGGATGAATTACTATGGGGGATGAATTACTATATGGGGGATGAATTACTATATGGGGGGTGAATTACTATGGGGGATGAATTACTATGGGGGATGAATTACTATATGGGGGATGAATTACTATATGGGGGATGAATTACTATGGGGGATGAATTACTATGGGGGATGAATTACTATATGGGGGATGAATTACTATGGGGGATGAATTACTATATGGGGGATGAATTACTATGGGGGATGAATTACTATGGGGGATGAATTACTATATGGGGGATGTATTTTCAGTTTTAAAAATGTGGCTCTCAAAATAAATTTCAGTTGTGGTTTTGGCGAGATTTGACTCAGTTGAAAAAAAAGGTTGCCCACCACTGCCCTAGGTGATCACAGCGAAAGTGGGAGCAGGTACCTGTGAAATTTGAGTACCTGCTCCACAAAGGTGCCAATTCTTAACCGACAGCGGGGGGCAAAGGCTTACAGCCAAACTTCCCGTTTTGGGTGGAGCTCCGCTTTTAGTATTTAATGTACACACAAGCTAAATAACCAAGAAACAAAAAGTACTACTATATGAAGACTTTTCAAAAAACATCTTTTTGACATGCACCACAAGCTTTTTTAACATCACAAATGATGTTTCAATTAACGTTTTTCATGCTGTTTTAATAACCATCTCATATAGAATACACAACTACTAAAAAAAAACACTGAATAATTTCAGTTAACACGGCCCTGATGCTCCTTTCCTTTCTGTGGTTTCAAGAAATAGACATAGGTCAAGTAAACGACACACTGCAAA